AAGAATACTACTTTAGCTCACATTAAAAGATTCAGAGAACTAAATTGATATTTTTAAAGCCTCTGGAACTAAAATAAACCTTTACCAGTCAGAGGGCTACTTTGACATTTTTCTCGATTTTCAATCCATTTATCTAAACATCAGTTTTCAGTTCCTCCACTAAACACTATAGCTGATAATATAGCAATCCTAAACTAGATTGAAAACAAGGTTTACTAGAATTTCTAGTTGTCGGGATTAGTTGGTTAGGCAGGAAGTTCCAACAACCTAAACGAAATAAAGCTATTCAAGAAAATTAAGGAAACATTGGGTAAATTCAATGATCAAGAAACTAAAATTAAACACAAATGAAAGAAAATAGAAGCCAAGAATCTACTAAAGTTTGTATCTGGGTTTTGAATTTAAAAATTTTAAAAAGTAATCCATGTTGTCACTACAAATGACCTCAGCAAAAGAAAAAAAAAATGAGACAACAAATGATTCTCCTAGAATTAATTTTGACAACAAAAGGAAATTTGAAACAGAAACCTTGTTTATTATGCTTTACAAGCTTCAAGAAATGCTGTAATCAAGCAGCCTTCATGTCAAATCCTGCAGCAGGAACTGAGACTTCACTCCTGGTTTCTGGAAGGAAACAATAACTCATTGCTGCTAGTTTTCTAGATCCCGGAATTGCTCGGCAGCAAACCTGCGGCAAGGAAAACTAGCGCTAGCCACTAAAAAGCTACTAAACCATGCTGGCAAACCATAAAAGAAAAGCCAGGGGTTTTGAAAAATCAATCTTGGAGAGGAATTGAACTGCACTATAGTTTTCTTCTCCTCCACCTTCCCTAGAAAAAGGGGGAATTCTCCAAAAGACAGAAATTCATTCCCCTCTTTGAAGACAAAATCAGGGAGGAAAAAAGATTCACAAAATACCCACAATTCATCAAAACATCAGTAACTATAAGAGATAACTATTCACACCCTTGGCCATCTATTTACTAAACTATCCTTAACAAGAAAAAAGACAAAAAGAGTTAAAAGCTATCTGAATTTGTGAAGGACTACCCCTCACAGAACCATGTAATTGTGGGTAAGGAATTGATGTGGTGCCAGTTGAGAAAACTTGGTAGGATGAAGACGCAGCAAAGATTGGCGAAGGCCATAGTTTGAACATTGGGAAGATGAAAGGTTGACCAATCAACAAGCTTGGATGGTCGACAGAGAGAGAGATGGGTTCAACATCAAAGTCCAATGAGAAGTTGAGAAGAAGAGGTGCGACCTCAGCCTAGACTTTAGAGGTTGCACGCTACTGGTCACATTGAAGCCATTTCAAGCAAGACCCAATTGTGGCTTCTTTGCTTCTCTGTTTGTGATGGATTAGGCTAGCATAAACAGATGAGTCCAATGCCTGAGGTGAGAAGAATGCAAGCAATATGAGATTGGGGAAAATAGAGAAACAACAAGAGATCGTGAGAGATAAAAGAGAGTTGGGCAATTGTCAATGAGGGAGAAAAGTAGGCGAGGCGAAGGAGAGGCAGAGAAAAAATCAAGATAAGGTTTGAATGAGGCATAGAGGGAATATATGGGTATGGAGGACCAAACCCGTGATAAGAACTGCAATTTTACATTTTACTTTCAAGCGAAGGATTAAAAAAAATATAGAAGTACATTCTTGAAAATTTTAATGTTTTGAATGTGTTGGGCTAAGCCATTTTGTGAAACATGTGATAATTAGATAACTTTTATTGCAGCAGAGACATTTTGATGCAGATTTATACAAAAACACATATGTTGTCAGTCTTGTTGTTAAAGATCAATCAAATTGGATTGCAAGACATATGAAAGCCAATAAAAGAAAAGTATAGTAATGATGAAAAGCAATCCTCCACCAGTGAAAAACTTAAACTTAAAGAAGCATCTAAAATGATTTACAATAAAAGGTCGTCTAAAGCATCCTTAGAAAATAGAGCAGTGACAAGCGCTATGCATGCTTAAGAATAGAGTTAAGAAAATCTTGAAAAATGTTCAAACCTGCTAAAAGATATGCTCTTGACACTATTTATTGTTAAAATATGACGATGCACTTGAGTACATAAAAAAACCAATGCAATTTGAAATGAAAGAAGTATAAGGTGCAAATGGGTAATGCTGAATACAAAGAAGATGAAAGCATAGACACATTCAAGGCTAGACTTTTAACAAAATGATTCAATCAGTCCTATGGGATCAACTATAAGGAGATATTTACATCGATGGCAAAACTCACAATAAGAGTATTACTATTATTGGCTGCCAATCAGGATTGACTTTTACATCAGCTAGACATTAAAAATATATTTCTTAATAGGGATATTGAAGAAAAAATGTACATAAAGTCATCTCTAGGAATAAAAAAACAACATAAATAATCAACGAGCGTGCAAACTAAAAAAAAATCATTATATGGTTTGAAATAATCTCCCAGAACATGGTTTGAAATGTTAACCAAGATTATCATTTTCAATGGATACTATTAGTGTTAGAATGATCACACTTTATTATGAAATCAAATCAAAAATGTATGATGGTCATACTTATTGTAAATGAAGATGACATTATTCTTAAAAAAATGTTGTAAAGGAACTTAGAATAAAAAATAATAATAATAATAATGGCTTCTGAGATTGAGATCAAATAACTCGGAACATTAAGATACTTTCTGAAAAAGGAAGTAGCTAGATCCAAAGAAGGCAATATCAGATCTCAAAGAAAATATATCCTTAAATTTTTAAAGAGACATGAATGATATGGTGCAAACCAACACATGCTCTTATGGATCCCAATAGGCAAGAATCAAAAGAAGAGAATAACACCCCAGTTGAAAAAGAGAGGTATCAAAAACTTGTGAAAAACTAGTTTATTTGTCACATAACACATGGCCTTGTCTTTTCTGTGGGTGTAGTGAGTCAACATATGAATGGTCCAAATAAAGATCATTTAAAAGTAAATGATTTTTCGAATCCTAAGTGCCTAACGATAATTTCAAGACAAGGATTGATATTAAAAAAAATTGAGAACCATAATGTTGAGTTCGACACTGATGCTAGCTAGGCAAGAGAACTGACTGACAAAAGATCTACCAACAATTGTTGTTCATTTTTATGGGGTAACCTGGTTACTTGGAGATTATAGTAAAAAACAAGATGTGGTGGTAAGTAGCGCATGATTTGAGTATTGTGCTCTAACCATAGGAATTTGAGAATAAATATGGCAAAAGAAATTACGGGTGGAACTATATATGGAGAACAAAAGCGCCATAAAGATGTTCAGTGATATCCAATCAATCATCAGTATTTCAAAGAATCTGATACGCCATGAACGAACTAAATATATAGAGAATGAAAGATAATTCATCTTTGAGAAAGTCAATAGAGGGGTTGTCCAACTAAACTATATATCAACTTAATATCAAATTGCTTGCATTCTTACCTAGACTCATCCTTGGGCACCACGTTAGTGATCTCAACCATAAGTTTTGGATGTATGACAGATACAATCCAACTTGAGGGGGAGAGCCGATATGACTATAATCGTGGACCACATGGGCCCACCGATGGTTTATGAAACCTTAGGTCCACTACTATATTTGAGGGGAAAAATTATTCTCTCTTAATAATCCAATATTGGATTTTTATTTCTTTCCTTTTCATCATGATAATTTGAATTTTCCTCCAATCGTATGAGGGTTAGTTTGAGCTCTCTCTCTCTCTCTCTCTCTCTCTCTCTCTCTCTCTCTATATATATATATATATATATATATATGTTATATGTTTGTATTAGTTTAATGAGAAATTAGAGAATTTTTTCCTCTAAGAAAGTTCCTCCTAAATTCCTCAGTTATTATTTGGGTTTCACAATTACAAATGATAGTGGCTTTATCAACAATAGTGGCAAAATAGGCTGAAGCTATTGAGTTTTGTAAAGAATAAATTTGGATGAAAAATTTGCTGAAAGAATTGATAAAAGAATATGATAATTGTGCTTTATTTTTATGATAGTCGATGATAACAATCTTGCTAAGAACACATTATTTCATTTCTGGACAAAGCATATTCAATTTGAATATTACTTTAGCTGGGATCTATTAGACAACCAAGAACATAAGAACCAAATCCAAAATAAAAGGTGGTTTGGATAAGTAAAAAATTATCTTAAATTATCTCCTTGGATAATCATATAGATTCAATTGTCAATTATAATTTTTGTTATTTTAGATTAAGCAGCAAATCAAAATCTAAATAAAATTTGCAATGATATTTCGCCACCTTAAACTTCGTTAAATATAACAACTGCAGATGAACATTGGGATTTCATAATATTGTGCCAATTTGTAAAGAGTGAAGCAGAAGATGAGAATTTCTCAATGGGCATTGGCTTAATGAGTTTGTTTTGTTTAGAGTAAAAATAATAGAAGGGAGAGGGAGATAGAGAAACAGAGAGGGTAAAAGAGAGGAAAAAATTAGATGGCACTTCTATTTCTGGTTGCTGTGAATTGTTTCAATGTGGTAGAAAAATAGCGGTGTCAGTGTAGACATTGTGGGTCCAAAAAATCATGTTGTTCCGAACAGGAATTACTATTTGAGTAATTTATTATCCTCCTAAAAACATAAAGACTGAAAAAAATCTGATTTACTCTTCATAATTTTAAAAACAATTCACCAAACTAAATAAATTTCGTATCAAGTCGAGCTTTTTGCAGCTCATCCTCACCACTGCTTATGACACTAATTCTCCCAACAGTACATCATTGACTTTAGAGAATGTGAGTATAAGGCCAAAGACTAAAAACAAAATAAACAACAGAAGATATACATATCCACTATTACAAAAACACCCCATTTGTTTAAAAAGTTCAATACAAACAAACATTTAAAATTTAAAAAATTAAAAATTATAGGAAATATTAACAGCATTAATAGGAAGACAAAGTGTAAGACAAACATCACAAATAACATCAACAAAATCAACGAGCTCACCTCAACATCCTTTTGGAGAGGAGTCAATGCAAGGACTAATGATTTTACATTAGGCCGTTCTTGTTGCTCAAATTGTAAACACCTAGAAGCTAAGCGCACCAGTTCGGTGCCATCCTCATTTGAAAACTGCCCTTCCAAACAAGAATCCGTCAGCATATGAAAGTTTCGATCTTTAATCAAATCCAAGGCCTGCCCCACAGTACAGATGTGAATCAGCCCCAGCAAAAGAAGTAGGCTTAAATGAATTTTAGTATAACTTTACATGAAAATTTATTAGTCTGCACCAAGTACTAAAACTTCCCTGTCAAAAAAATGACTTTCTTTATTAATTAATTATGAAGTTTTGTAAAAGCTTTAACAACATAACCATGTTTATCAGTGTTACATGTTTCAAAAATCCTCTCACAATTTAAGAGATTTGTACTAAATTTGAAAAAGAATGGCACTAACATGGCTTGGAGGAATATGCTTTCCGCTAAGAATATCAAGCAGCAATGTGCCAAAGCTGTAAATAACACTTTCCTGTGTGATCCTTCCTACAAATTCAGGAGAAGTAGTAGTAGAATGAATAAAAAAGAAATAAAGCATACTGTACGTTCTATAGATGTGACAATGTTAACTAAAATTTCAACTTAATTTGATAGATATAATAGAAAGGGGAGTTTAAAGCTTAGGAGAGGCTTGATTACTTAAAATGAATACCAATTTAAATCATCTTTGATTTGTTCATAAAGAAGTGCTGCATCTTTAAAATACAAATGTGTCGCACTCAAAAGTCTCAGCAGGCACTAAAATTATAGTAATCAGCCTAAAGCAGAGGCGATGAGAAAGAACTGCAAAAAGTAAAATATGCTTAAACAAAGAAGTTTTTACTCTCATATCTCCGGAACTTATACAAAAGTTCATGCATTTAGGTATTGAACAATTTACAGAAGTAATTACCATAGGAAAGATAAAGAATTCTAGGATCTAACAAACCTATAGCAAGCATAATACGAACTTGTAATTTTTCTATCTTTTTTTTAAAATGTTTTGACAATCTCCTACTCAAATAACGTGGCAAAATATATAGGTTGTTAAAAAGACTGAATTTAACTTATAAATAACATGATACATTTGAAAAAAGTTTTAATATTTCGCCTAGATGCAACAAATTTTGATTAAATCTAAAACTAAAGATGCCCTCAAACAAAATCAATTAGTTTAAAACCTATGATATGCTCTTTATATGCCAAAATCATTACATTATGATTTTGCGGTATGCTCTACCTCTAAGAATACCATGGTCGGTTCGTATTTTTTGCAGACTAATACTATTTTTGTGCATCAATTCACATTTTGAAAATCATGTCTACCTCAGTTAAGAGGAAGAAATGTTCAAAGTTTTCAAATATGTGAATTGGTATTCACATTTTTTCATCTTTGACGTTATTTGGTCAAATCCGACATGATTCAACTGAAACAAAATAATATAGTGTATGTTTTACATGCAATGTCATACTATAAATTCAAAAAAACAAGAAATGAGAATTGTTGAATTCCTCTACATTTCAATCAGGGTCTAGAGCTAATATAATCATGCAGAAAGAAAATAATTATTAACTATTAAACTGTATGAACTTGGCCTTAGAATGTTCAATCAACTTCTTGAACTTAACTTTTAAACACTTAAATTGCTAAACTATTCTTACTTGCAGTAAAAGAAACAAAACCATAAATTGGTTGGATAAGTGCTTGTCGAGAAACTAAGACAAAGCAAACTAAAATTTCGTATCTATTTCTTTAAAGAGAGAGAGGGTACTAGGTTTTAAGTGATAACCTTTGTTGCGGCTCATCTCAGTAAATTCACAAATCTTCTACAATATTCAGTCCTATAAACTTCTATGCCAATAATCCTTTAAAACATATATGCATTTATGATTCAAATTCCATAAAAATCAGTCTATTCAATTCCATACTTTGATAGTTCAAAGCAATTAGTTGTTAACTTTTTCTATTCAATAATCATAACAACCTACACAAAAATACATATTCATTGTTCCTTTTTTATCACTGCACACTCTAGCCGTAAAATTTTACTCATTAAGTGCACAATATTAGGGATGCAAGCGAGTTAAGCAGACTCGTGAGCCGGCTCGAGCTCGGCTCGATAAGTGGCTCGTGAACTAGGTTGGATAAGCTAACAAGCCAAGCTCAAGCCAGCCCCGACTCGACTCATTAGCTCAAGATCCGGCTCGTTTAAAAAAATATTAAAATAAATTAAATTTCAAAACTTTATATTTCAAGTATTAAAAATGTTAAGAAAATAAAATTTTTTATTGTATATTAAGTGACTTCTTATTATTTATCTCTTCATTGTTCATTTTATTTGTCAACTTATTACAAATTTATTTTAAATTAATATCATTTTTTCTCTTTTATATTAAACAAGCCGGCTTGCGAGCAAGCTCGAACTTATAAACTTAAGCTCGATCTTGATCTTGAACTTATAGACTTAAGCTCGAGCTTGATAAAATTAATCAAGCTTAAACTCAAGTCGAGGTTGGTTCGAGCTCAACTCGACCCATTTACAACCCTACACAAGGTCTTCATATTTTTTAAAAGGTTAGTTCTAGCTATTAGACTGATATTATGCTAATGATAGTATTCAAAATCTTAGGGCTTACTTAGGATCCTTGAGTTTTTTTTATTTTTTTTATTTGCTTTTATTTTAAAAATATATTTATTTGGTGTGTTTTGTTTGTATATTTTTATATTTTTTAACATATTATCTTGTTTTAAAAAACGCTACAAATATCTAAAAGTTATTTTTAGTGTTTTTTTTTAAATTAAACATGTTTTATCATGCTAAACACATTTGCTTTGAATCAAAACAAAAAAAAAAAACACAACTCAAAAATAAAAAATGATCCCAAATAGCCCCTTAGCAAATAATAAAAAATCTACATAATTCATTTATTGCCCAAAAAAAGAAGGTCTGTCTATCATATATACAAATACTTTTTTTATTGTAGGTTCTAGAACATGACATATTGAAACTTAGCACAATAATTATGATTTTCCACAAAAAAGAGGCACAAGATATGAAAATACCAGTTCTCAGATATTCTGGAGGAGTGAATGCCAAATTTGTGCTATAACTTTTACCATCCCGACTATTCTTCATGAGGCCAAAGCACGAAAGCCTGGGATTGCAATCCTATAACACGCTAATCAATGATGAGGGATAAAGAAGCTCGATATACATTAAAGATAGTTCAAAATTTTTCTAAGAAACTTGACACTTACATCATCAAAAAGAATTCTATAAGCATTAAGATCATGATAAAGATCACGGCCGCTGCTAGTGCAATATTCTAAGGCCTCTGCTAGATAAAGTGCGACCCTCAGTCGCATTGGCCATTTCATTGGTTGATTCTCCCCTAAAAAAAAAATTTTCCAACAAAACTCAGCATTTATAAATCCAATGAGAAATTGCAAGGGTAGATAACTAAAGCAAAAATTAAATGCATTCTTTTGATGAAAAGAAGAAATAAATCTACACAACTATGAACGATCGAAAATCACAATAGAATTAAGTTCAGTTGAGAGTCAGATAGCACATTTGACAGCATGTTTTATGGAAGGCCAATAAAAAATTGACCAGACTAACAGTCGTTTTAACTCACCAAAAGTATCTAATTAATCCACCATCATATATTTCCCATGTGGAAAAAGTGGCAAAATAAAGTATGAGCAATAAATAAAAAAAACCCTTAAAATAAATATTCGCCAAGAACTTGAAACTCCAATGTAGTGCTTACAATAATACACTTAGCAAAATAAAATATGGAATGAAAATCAAGGCATAAGATACTCATTCAAAAATCTATTAGTTCGAAGTCCCGTTATAAAAATAATGATCCATAGAGAAAGCTCGTGATTAAAGAAAACCAAGAGTTTTGCTATCAACACATGCCTTCCATCAAGACATAAAGTGACTATTGAAGATATGTCTAAAATATACCATCTTAGGATACATTTAAATTCAATTTCTTTATGAATGTAGATGCTCAAAGGACTAACAATCAAGATTTAGCATAAAAAATTGCACTAACAAATAGTGCTTCTAGTATCTACATGGTTGAACCCATCAAAAATTTCATGATTGTAAATCATGTTCTTTTATTTTGCTAAAAGCAATTTTCAATAAAGTAAATAATTGGATGCCTTCTTAATTTAGAATCTCGCAAATGAAAACACCATAGGCATCTTAGGTTACATAAAAAACCTTTTTGATGCTAATTAATGTTAGAATTGGACAACAATTTATATGAATTATTTTTGTATGATTTTTCCACCATGAGATCTTTAATTTTATATTAAAATTCGTCATAATTTCATAAATCCACCGTACTAACTCATGCAATATTATTTATGTAAAAATCTAATTTTTAGACATGAAGAACGAGCAATTGGAGTAGACCGAGTAACATCAGACATAAAGGTGGTGATTATAGGCTCATGCGTCCAATCGAAGCGCCTAGGTTCAAGAGCCAATGCCCGAGCATCCCTCTCTGGGGCCAAAGCACCAAAAAGAGAATTTTTTTTAAGTAAAAAAACTAAGAGACTGACACCCAACCGCAGTGTCAAGGCACTAGTCACTTTAATCTCTTCCAAGCGCATGAATAAATGGTTTTTAATGAAACTTGTTGCATCTATTAAAAGCAGAGAAAAGGGAGTATGTGGGAACACTTGGAAGAGATTAAAGAAGACTAGAGAAGCATGGATAATAGCAACTAGAGTGGAGGGGGAGCCTACAACCTTGTGATTTTCCACCTCCGACTTGTTTTTTTTTTCTTATAATAACGTAATATGTAACTTTCTTTCATTCTAGAATGAGCTTAATCCATATACATAAAATTAGATCTAATTTCTAAGCTTTATTATTGTTATTTATTTTTCAATTTGTGTTTCATTACTTTTAATTGAATGGTTATCATTTAGAACTTTAGGAGATTCACACAAAATCTAGATAAGAAGAGTAGATTCATCAATATTGAGGTACCAAAGCAGATCATAAGAGATAGACACCTATGTAAATTCGTGTAATCATTCAGATCATTTAAGCGAAAATAACAAAACCGATTAATATTAAATTTACTCTAGAGATAGAGGTAGCTTGTATTAACTTGTTAATAACCAAATCATTTTAAGATAATGACAGAATACAACTTAGGATCTATAATAAAATAACAATGAGTCAATGACTTGCATTTTAAGTTAACAAGCTGTCTCAAAATCCTTAGATTTCTATTATCTAATGGACAACTCTTGACCAAATATGTTTATAGCACATAGCTATTTTTTCCTATTATTCAACATCTCGTTACAATCATTCAAATAATTTCAAGCTCAACATAAATTTAATTATTAGTGAAAATATTTTCTATTTGAAAGTACCTCTCCTCACTATTTATTGCTTGCACAACCATATATTCATGCGCGTACATACAATCCATATCAACAATCACTAGTTCTTTAGAAATATCTCTAAGAATTTGTGCAAAATATTTGTAACTAAACTTGAAATATTTTAGTATATCAAATAATGGACAAACAATCAGTTTAAAACACTTAATAAAGATATAATTGAAAGTTTCTAAATCATGAAAACTATGCACAAAATATACTGAGTTAAGATGAGCCAATTTAGGATTGTATTGATCTTAAAAAGTTCTCTTAAAATCCAATTGGATATGAACATGAATCATAAGAAGGTGGCCTTAGACTCATGAGAAGAATAAATGAAATATTTTAAATTAAAGAGAGTTTTTAATCATGAAGTGTATCAAATAATGGACAAATAATCAGTTTAAAACACTTAATAAAGATATAATTGAAAGTTTCTAAATCATGAAAACTATGCACAACATATATTGAGTTAAGATGAGCCAATTTAAGATTGTATTGATCTTAAAAAGTTTTCTTAAAATCCAATTGTATATGAACATGAATCCTAAGAAGGTGGCCTTAGACTCATGAGAAGAATAAATGAAATATTTTAAATTAAAGAGAGTTTTTAATCATGAAGTGGCATCAAAACAAAGACATGTGACTTGAGTGAATTAACTTGATAACACTAACGATAAGACGATCATCAAAATAAATTATCAAGCATCTATCAATATATTGATAGAGGATTTAATTTAAGCACCTCATACAAGTACTAAGAGTATTTAATAAATCATAGGACATGGTGAACCGTTCAAAAGGTCCATCGGAAGTATTTCCACTTATCTCCAAGTCTAAGTATAATCTAATAATACCCACTTCTAAAATCAATTATTTCAAGAATGATTGGAACTAATATATAATCTAACATCTCACCCATGCAGAGAGGGGGAAAAATATAGTGAATAGTGATAATATTAATAGCTCGATGATTAGCAAACATATATTATGATTCACCCTTCTTCAGAGTAAAAAATAACTATAACTAATCACAAGGAGTACGTCTTTCTCTGATGAAGCCATTTTAGGATAAGCAACTTTTTAGTCCAACATGCTATTTACACTTTATGTTATAATTTGATAGATTTGATTAGTTGGAAGTCATCGTCAAAAATGTGCATGTTAAATGTCACATAGAAAGGGCAACTCTTCACCAAGCTCAAATGTTGTAATCTAAAAAAAAATCTTCAAATAAAGGAAATATGATAGAAAAGTAAAGTTAGTTGTGGTAGACTATAAATTTATAGAAGATAATATAATAATAAAGTAAAATTATGAACATGTGTGATAAATTCTTGAAGTGGAAATAATTGAATTAATGGTTTATTGCTTTGATTTCTAATTTTTCTTACATTTTTAATGATGACGGCAGTAAAAAAATTTGCTAAGTATATGACTCTGACTGTCTAACAAAAATGTCTACAAATGATGAGAGTTACAAAAAATTTGTTTAATAGATGATCCTGACATCTAATAAAAATGTCTATACACGATCGATAATAAAATTGATTGCATTTTGTTTTACCAAGTTGATGTAGTTATAAAATATTTCCTTTATGCTGTTAGATCATTGTAATGTGCTTTCTTTAAATTTTTTGCTGCTTAAATTGTTTAGGACTTACCTTGATTAGTGAAATTTATGTAATTTCTCATAAAGGACTTTATTATATATATATATATATATATCTCTCTCAAGCTTAGTAATTTCTCTTTCTCCTAACTTCTCTCCTCTCAACCATCCGATACTCTATAATTCTTCCATTTCTTAACCCGATCTCTCTCAATTTCCAGTCTCACAACACTCACTCATTATCTTCTTCTCTATCTCTTTGTTTCATCTACTTCTCAAATGATTCATAGCACCATCCCTTTCTCCTTTTCCCCTTGCTTTTCTAAGACATCCCGCTAACTGTTCCATATGTTGCTTCATCATTTTTTATTTTTATCTTTCTTAAATTTTGCTTTGTCTTCGTCCCTCTTTCTCAATATATTGCAATTACATAAGAAATAAATAATCCTAAATTTACAACCTCATATTAGGCTACCAAGCTCAAATGGTTTTAGTTTAACTATTGCACCCAAAATCAGAAGTATAATTGTTGGCTCTATTCAAATTAATAGCACCAATATTATAAAGCCAAGTTTGACCAAACAGAAAGCTAACAACATATATGAGTAGTTGACAATATTTTAAAAGGTAGAGATCAAAGCCGCGGGCATAGCATACATACCCCATAAATATAATATTTAATATTTCATAAATAAAAAATGGGAAACAAATATATCATATGTAAGAAAATTATTTGAATGAATACCAAAATCTAAAGTCCATAACCATATGTTTCATAATTTAACTCCAATGCCTAATTCACAAGTAATAAGAGATAGCAATTTATTAAGGATTGCATTAAATAATTTTGATAATAAAAAAAATTCTATATATCAATAAGAGAAGAAAAAAATTTGAAAAAAAAAAACAATAAAGGGGGATATCCTAATGATGAGAAAATACCAAATTAATAAAAAAGTACAAAGTATTATTATTATAAATAAGTCAATGTGATAATTTAGATATCATAATACTTCCCCACGAGCTTAAGATGGCATTTTAACTATATTAACTAAAAATGAAGTAATCAAATATTTTATTGACTATAGGTTGAGTGTCTCAAAGAGGGTCACCTGATCTCTTAAAGAAAACTTAGTGTTACTACAATGCAAAAAGGCAATAATGTGATATGTTTCATGGACATGAGTCTTGAATGATAGATATTAACAGAGATTGTTGGTATTACGGAGTGATAATAGAGAATATAGATAGAGAATACTAATAGAAAACATTAATGCACTGAGAAAAAAATCATCATTGTTGGAGAATATGGTTAGAAACTAGAGGCATCAAATTCTACGAGAAATAGAGAAAAATCAGGATTGGGGCCCTTTTATAAAAGAGAATGTTTTTTTAATGGCTGCCGGATCCAATACAAAAGGTCCCAAAACCGTTGTACTCTTTGGCACAATTGGGATTGATTTCAACACTCTTGCTGCCATTAATGAGAGCATAGACATACTGGTGGAGAGACGATTTGATGGTAGAAGAGTTGGAATAGAGAATAATATTTTTAGAAGCAAGAACAATCAAGTGTAATAAATAATGGATTGCATCTTCAAAGCCGTCAACGATGTTAGCTTTTGCTACACCTGCCATGGGGAATAAAAAAGAAAAAAAATATGGAAAGCAAGGAAACATATCCATAAATGGAGAAGGCATGGGTCCAAGTACAACCCCATTTTTTTTCTCAGGCTCAATAATTTCACTTTCCCTCAACTACATAAGGTCGCACATCTTCAAATTAAGCAAAACCTTTTACACTTATATCAACCTTTGATCCTTAAAATACAATTTGAGGCTATTAGGGTTCTTTCAAATGTCCCGGAGACATACACGCTCATAATCAAGTCAACTCTCAACTTAGCAAACCTTTAGGCATTTAAACATTCTCCGTTGAATTGGGACACTTTCTAAGGTTTCCAAGATAGAAAAGCTATTTGCCTTAGCATCAGCAAGTCACAACTTCAATGCTTCATTGTTGATTAAAATTCATACAATTGGTGATGATAAAATCGAAGTACATCAAGGAGCCTTTGGGATTTGCAATTAAACATGAGGGCTCACAAGTTTCATTGAGCAGTTAGATTGAACATCAATGGAAAGATAGCAAGGCAAGGTGTGAAAAGATCGATAGTTTTAGTATGGTATTAGAGAGAGAACTGAAAAGCACAACACATTTACTAAATTGTCTTGATAGTACAAACATGTGTCTATATACAAGCAAAATAAGAAAGCAATAAAGAAAAATTATTTGATAGAGAAAAATTATTTGATAAAGAAAAATTATGAAAATTTATTTTATCCAAATTATAATAAAAATGAAAAGTTATCATAAATTTAATCCTCTCGACACAATTATCCTATCTCTCACGTCTTCTTATGAAGAGAAATAACCAAACCCTTTCTACTCCTTTTCTTCTATTACCCCTTTTTCTTTTATTTTTCTCATCAAAATTTTGTGACCCACAAAATCTATTTTAACCACATCTCTTTATAAAAAGTGATACAAAATACTGCTTCCCATTTTTCATCTTTGTATATGTTCTCCAAGATTTTTTGCATGTTCCCTTACACAGTATCAAAACTGCACATTGTTAAAAAAATTGTTTGTAATTTTAAGCTATTATTAATATCAATCTTGTCATTATGTTTAATCATGGATTGTGCATATGCAATAAAATTTGTTCTCCTAGTTTATGGTTTTTTTTTACAAACTCTACAATTTGAAATATTGTTTGCAAATGCCAAATCCAATACTTCATGTGATTTGGATAAGCATTTATAAATGCTTAATTGTTCAACTTCAAACTTTACTAGAATATATTCCAAACATCAAGTTAGCAAGTAATAAATTCCTTATTAAGATTTAAGAGTGATTTACAGGCTTAGCACCTTGAAGACAACATTCCATCTAAATAGCTATGACAGAAAAAGGACAACCAGCAGATCCCTATTGAAGGAGAACAAGATGAAATTAAGGAAAAAGAATTAAAAAAAAAGCCTAAGATCACAAAAAAAATAAAAAATTATGTAATTTGGATATCAATGTCCCTATGGCTATAGGCGCATTAATTTCACACTTCTAGTTGAGTTGATAATTAAAAATATCACTCCTTTAAATAAACCTAGATTAGGATGATCAATAAAAGTCATAAAATGTTGGATCTAAGAAACCCTTGGAATGCTTGACAAACCATACAAAATAAAAACAGAACATTCAAAAAAATATTTCCTTTCACTTCCTCAATCATTCTGCATAATTAATAAATTGCTATAAATAGCTAAAACAGGTAGGAAATAATTACAGATAAAATAAGAAATATAATAACATTGACAGAAATTACAGTGAAAGAGGTGTTTGGCGAGTGTTTCATTGGCCATGTATTCCGCCACAAGCAGTCTCTCTTCACCTTCGCAGCAGCAGCCAAGCAAATTAACTAATCTGTGGTTTCGAAGTTGGCCAACAGCCTTTGCTTCTTCCTAAAGGGACCCAAAAAAAAAAAAAAACTTAGGGATCAATGATGAAGTTTAAACAAAAATACTAAAGGTAAGCAGATGAAGCATAGCTCAACTGCGATAACATCACAAAATATTATAACAATCATTGATTATAAAGTTCTAAACTTCTAGTTTACAAGCTGACACTTATGAGGGAAGTCAATATATATTTTTCATTAATAAGTTTCTAAGGGGGAAATGCTGTCTATTCTTTGTAACCAAAAAAAATATTAAAAATTAAAATAAAAAGTCAGCAACTTGCAGAAAAATTTCTCTAAACTTTGGCAAATTACAAGTATGATGAGAAATAAACGTGGATATTTTCTAAACTGGCTTCAAATCTTGCGAAAAAAAAAAAATAAAAAAATCTTAAAAAAGAAATCATTTCCCCAAAGGTTCATATCAACAATCACCTAAAGTACTATTAGAAAGGTTTGAGTTCATGTTGGAATATAGATGGAGGAGGATCGAACGGTTGAAATAAGACTACAGCAGGTGCTAAAAGCAAAATGGAATCCTGATAAGCCAATGACTGCTACTCATCTAATTGGATTAGATAGGAATTTCATAAATGTGGTACATGGCCCAATTCTACACACCATTGAATCACATCTCCAAAAACCAAAATATGAGCTGTTATTTTCATAAATAAGAACCAAAAAGTCCGATGCCCAACTATTGTGTTGTGGTAGAGTGTGCCCTTGGTTGAAGAATAATTAATAAATGTGGCATTTACATACATAACACCTTGTTGCTATGCATTTACATATCTAACACCTAAAATTTAATTTTTATATTTATAGCAGCCAATTCTTTCATATCACATTAAAAATACCACCATTCTAAAAAGAAATCCAGCTTTTCATGTATAGATAAGGTGGCATATGTATATACAAATTAAAGTATAGGTATTAGATATGTAAATACATAGGAATTAAGTGGAACGTATGTAAATCCTCCTGAGTAAATCATCATATGAAGGTAGAATTGTTTCATGCTTGCGAACGTAGGTTGAATTTCTTATATATTAGTGATGGCTAATAGAAGCTTAGCCGCATGAGTTGGTTCGAAGTCTAGTATTGTCGTCAGCCAAAGTCTAGCACCAGGTGATCCAAAATTCCACATCCATAGACCAACAGTAATTGAGATTATTAAATAAATGTCATAAAAATCTTCCTAAGTACACTAATATCCATTGCCATAAATCAGTGGAACCACACAAACATGACCTACGTGATTAGTTAAATTCAAGAACTAGTGTGTCTTAATTTATCTTAAAGTTTTCCAAACCTTAATTTTGTCAAGAAGAAAATAATCTTGATTTCCTTCCTCCATAAAGGAGTATTAAAATGAAAGGAAATCTACATACATGCCACACAATTCTTATGTATTTACATGTCTAACAGCCAAGGTTTGATATTTACAAAGCATGAAAAGGTGTATTTCACTTTTAAAAACAATAGTGATGATGGTATTTTTTTTTAATGTGATGTTAAGGATTTGAGTGACATGCATGTAAATATGAACGCTTAGGTGTTAGATATGTAAATACATAATAATTATGTGATATGTATGGAATTAGCTTTGGCAATCCCAATTTGGCCAACAATTAAATGCAATCAAATCTATTCAAAACAAAACAGCATTTTTACTCTATTCCAATATTTTCTATAGCAGCAACAAATCAAAGCAAGTTTCATACAAGATCAAAAGCTGAGTTCCAAAATAAGCCATTTGGGGGGGTTCAAAATCCTATCATCTAAAAATGACAAGAAATCCTTACCAAGAACTGGCGCGGATCAGGCCAGGCAGATCTGTTAAACCTCTTAACAGCAATCTTCCTCCGAGCATCCAGCTTTCCTTTATAAACCACATTGGGAGCTTTCTCCCCATGTTCTGAAACGATATTTTCCGCCGCAAACCCTGAAGTCGCAATCCTAAGCTGCTCAAATGAGAACTCCTGAAACGGTTGCAATTGATAACCATCCGACTTCTCCTCCCCCTCTGCATCATACCACGCAATCTCACAAACCACAGAAATAAATCAAATCGCAGCCCTAAACCTAGCACTCACCGGCGTCCGAAGCTTCCAGAATCGACGACTTCTTCTTCTTCGAATGCCAGCAGCAAGCAAGAAGCTTGGAGCTCCTCGAACCCATCCCAAGAAATCAACCTCGCAGCTCCTGTTCAAGCTGCCAAAACCATAGCAGAAGATATAGCAAACTGAAACGAAACCTTACCGAATCAATAAACTAGCTGCTTTAGAACGAAGGAGAAGCACAAAATACCTGGAGTTTGAAATCTGATGAAATAGAAGTCCTCCGACGTAGTAAAGAGATCGGATCTCTAGTTCTGCACTATAATTATTAGGGAGAAAAATGTCTAAAAATCCGATTTTTATATGCAGACATCCCGTCCTTTCAGAACCCTAGAATAACGATTTTGCTCCATTATTCTATTCGCCACCGCTTCGCTGTTTGAAAAAAAGACAATTTTTTTCTCGTCAGCGGCCGACGACGAAGAGAGCCAACAAGCTTCTTTGCGGCTTCCTGGCAGCCCGCCGTCATGGCGCCGAGCGAATCACGTGAGTGGCGCGTGATTTCGACATCTCATCTCCGCCGTTGATTTGGGGACCCATTTACCAGATAGGCAGAGATGAATAGATGATCAGGTACCCATCCTTCGGATGAATAAACAGTGTTGATGATATGATTGGGTAAGGATGTAGAAATTTTTTTGAGTTATATAAATATTATTGAACTTTTTTGTATTTTTTTTTCTAGAAATTTGAGAAAATAACATTTTGCTACACAGATTATTCATTCAACTCAAAAAATTTACAAATAAGTTGTTTACAAAACGCACTAACCAAACAGCTAAATTGCTTATTCAGAACAGGGGCAAAATGGTCAATTTTTCACAATCAGCTGTTTTCCAAACGCGTTAACCAAACAGCCAAACAACTTATCCGGATCAGTTGGTCATCGGCAGATTATTAGGATAAGCTGCTTATCAGCAGAAGCTGGATAAGCTGCAGCTGCCCCAAACAGACCTGAAGTCATGTATTGGAAAATGGGTTTTTTTTTTTTTTGAAATTAATAAAATGGGCTTAATCCTGCAATTAATTAGAGGTTTGATGATTTTCTTATTTGAAAATTTTGATTTTATATTTATAAGATGAAATAGAAAATTAGTAATTTTGTATTTCTTTGAAAAATATGTTTGAACAAAACATAAAAAATATTATAATACATATAACTCAGGGTTATTATCACAAATAAAACTTAAAACAATCATTAGACTGCTTGTGCATAGATTATTTGCACACATAAGAATGTGTATGCACAAATCTCAAAGATGGTCAACTTGGGAATGAAGCACGACATATCAGAAATAATCGTATCCACGCGAGCAACAATAGAGAAAATACCTTACCGAAAGATCAACAGAAGATGTCAAAAGGAAGCCCCTCAAGACAGTCGTCAGCCTTCAGAACGATCGATGTGAACACGGCTTCGGATCATGAATAGATTGAACTAAGATCTGTTAGACGATAAGCGATCCTCGTCGATCGAATAGGTCTCAGGTTTTATTATATGTAAATAATATTGTAAATGACCTAAAAACCCCCTGAAAGGTTAATGATCATAAGACTAATGTAAACTTTTATAATATTGAGACATAGGCTTATAACTAGGGGTCTATATTATGGATAATGGACACTCTTTTACTGGCCTACTACGGCTCTTTCACTCTCTTTCTTTCTTTATTTCATCTAATAGAATGTTTCATTCCTTGGGCGATTTTCTCGGACAATCTCGAATTCAGTATTCTTTAAGGTGCAATGAACATGGAAACATGTCTTCTACGAGAAGAGGAGCCCAATAACAACAGTAAGGAGAGTCTAGCCAGAGGAACGAAGGGGAAGTAGCATGTACCCGAGAGTTCATGGAAGAATTTGTTCAGCAAGGGTTGCAAGGCTTAAGAACTCAGTTCACCAATCAGATGTTGAGACAGTTCGCTAAGGTCCTTTGGGTGGTCGCTACCCTAGCTGCCCCTTCAATTTCAGTTGGAGAGCCAACACGGCAAGGAACACATAACTCCCCTCAAGAAGAACCACCTGTCAATAATGGAAAGAGGGCAATACACCCGCAGGAAAAAGCACGACAAAAGACTATACCAAGACAACGCATGATCCGCCTCTGTTGAGGAAAGGAAGACCGATGTAGACTGAGGCACACAAAAAAAAACTGGAGAATGCTTTTCCTTACAGGTCTCCGGAGTTGATCCCTAGGAGAAGTTCACAATGTTGGTCCTGGAACTGTACAAAGGACGATCGGATCCCAACGACCAACTCGCGTCGTTCTAATCGTCTGTCTGCCTGTTGAAGATTTCAAATGCCCTCAAGTGCAAGTTGTTTTTTCACGAAACTAAGATCGACTGCTCTAAGGTGGTTCGACGGATTGTCGATTTGTAAGTGCCCTAAGGCCCAAGGAAAACATTTGATCCCAGTGGCAACTAAAGTAGGGGGAAACAAGAGCCTACGATCATTTATTGTGTGTTTCCAGAGTGAGACGCTAAATGTCGACGACCTGAAGCCCGACATGGATCAAACCGCACTAACATGAGGAGTAAGATAGAAAATGTTTCGTTTCGACCTCGAACTTGCAGGATCATAGAGCTTGGCCGAGTTGTTGAATATTGCCAATAGATACATAGTTGCCTACGACAATGCTTCTAAGCTCGCCAAGCAAAGACACCAGAAAAGACTCCCACAAGACACTGGAGGACAACTCCGACAAAGAACACGACCATCAAAAAACCTCCTCTATGAGGGTTGCCCTGATAATCACTTCATCCAGCGCTGAGAAGACCAGAGGCAACAGACTAAAGCCAAGAACCAGTGATCATCATACCACCAGGAGCAACCCCGGTATAACCACAAGGTCCATCGTGAGACACTACTTTGAGTATCCATGGCAAAGATAGTAGACACCATCCAAGATAAATACTTCTTTTAAGAAGGTGATGCTGATGAAGGGTGGAGCTTTCCTTCGGAACAGCAAGAAGTACTGCAAGTATCATAAAGACCACGGGCATAATACCGAGGAATACAAGCATCTAGGAAGCCTGGTAGAAGAACTAATTAAGGAAGGAAAGTTAAAAGAATTCATCGAATCTGGAGCTGCAACCTAGAGACAGAGCAAGGTTCCCGCGAAAGGAGCATCTAACGGTCCTGTTTGCACTAACGTCATTCACATTGCAATGTACATGTCTGATAACTGCGAAGGAAGCGAGTCAAAAAAGACAACAAACTGGAGAGCTCTGCGTCGCCACCTTTGCTCTGAAGCCCAAGAACCATCCACCTATCATGTTCACTGATGAGGATCTTCTTCATAAGCGAAATTCATATAATTATGTTATTGTTATAACTGCTATAATAAACAATTATCAGGTTGGGAGTATCTCAATTGACACATGTAGCTCCGTGAATATATTTTTTAAACAAGTGTTCAATAAGTTGAGCCTCGCCGATCAAATGACCGCACCAGCTGGTCCGCCGTATGGATTCTCTGGCGAGAGGAAGAAGGCATAGGTAATGATCGGGCTCTCATTAAGTTAGGAGGAGAACGAGAAATAATTCACCCTTACTAAAGATTTTCTTGTGGTGGATTCACCCACAACTTACAACGCTACCTTTGGTCGACTGGTGCGGAACAACTTCAGAGCATTAGTCTCCACTCATCACGTCGCTATGAAGTTTTTAGGAGACGAAGAAATCATCACAGTCAGGGGAGACTTGGAACAGTCCCGGGTCTTCTACTTAAGGGCTATAAACAACATGGAGCATGACCCTCTGGATATCTAGAACACGAGAAAGGGTGGCCTAGAGACCAGCGAACCCACTCGCAAGGTCTCGGCTGTCAAGAGGGATCCGGGTAGATTTTTGCTGATTAGTGAAACTTTCAATGCAGATCACAAGGAATTCTGGTCCAAATCATTTGAGAGAACAAAAACAATTTCGCGCGGACGACCACCAAGATGCCAGGAGTGTTGATCGATGCTATGTGCCACAAGCAAAATGTTGATATGTCGGCTCGACACATGAAGCAGAGCATGACCTATCTAAGAAGTGGTATGAAAGTTGGAAGAGGTCGGGTACATTCGGGAAGGATAATACCCCATTTGGGTTTCAAACGTGGTGATGGTCGTAAAAACCAACAAAAAGTGGAGGATGTGCACAGGTTTCACCAGCTTGAACTCCACTTGTTCGAAGGACTCTTACCCCCTGCTGAAGATCAATGCCCTAGTAGATTCAACTATTGGCCACACAATCCTAAGCTCCCTTGATGCATTCTCCAGATACCACCAAATTAAGATGCACGCAGCCTACGTGGAGTAAACAACCTTTATTACTTGTGAGTGTGTTTCCTGTTACAATGTAATGTCTTTTGGGCTTAAGAAAATCTGAGGCAATTTAACAACACATCATGGATGTTATACTTGCAAATCAAAAATGAAGAAAAATTGAGGTGTATATCGATGATGTACTGGTTAAGAGTCAGTCAGCGAAACAACACATCGAAGAATTAAAAGAAACATTGCAAACACTTAAAAAATGCGCATTCAAAGCCACAACGCATTCAAAGCCACAACCGGTAAATTCCTGGGATACCTACTGACCATTAGGCCATAAAGGCCAACCCAGGAAAGATTCAGGCACTCCTAGACATGACCAACCCCCC